AATTATACTAGGCATTTTGAACATGTGAGTATTTTTTAATGTTTAATTTACCCTTTATCATTGACCATCATGGATTCAGATTCACAGTATTTAACAAGCTCCCCCTGTGTACTCGGAATTAGTTTACCAAGGATCTCTTTGCGCTCAATAATTTTTAAAAATTCATCATGCTCACAATTTATTTGTGTAACTTATAAGAGGTAAATAATAAAGATTATATTAATTAAACATAATGTTTTAAATTTTCACTGTCAATTTTTTAGAAATAATAAATTAGTTATACATACTAATTGTAAATAAAACGACATGGCACTGAAAATTAAAATAAAACATTTTAAATATTAAAAACAATGTATTTTATAAATAATATTTAAGGTGTTTTTTAAAAAAATTTAATTCAGTAACATTTGGTAATGTTTATAATTTTGTTTTATATTTTATATGATTAACATTATATATGCAGTTAATGAATTTTAACCCATATGCTATGTTTGTGTAAAAAATGTTATTGCATGCATTTGAATCAACACTACTTATTTTATTTTCACTATACTCGGTAAGTTTATTACCGATAATTATCAATTCATTACGAATCGGTATATTGATATAAAATAGGTAGTGTTGAATCAAATGTATTAATAATATTAATAATGTATTAAAATTAATAATATAATTGATTATAAAAATATTAAGATATTATAATGTCATTTTTTAAAATGAACACTTAATGCACCTATTTGTATACATGTAAAAACTACCAATATCTTAATCGTTAATTGGGTGCATGGTTTTTTTCATATTAAATATACATGATGATAATGTGGAATATATGACCTATAATTTTTTAGCAATATATTTTAATATTAATATTAATAATTTTACATATGATTTTATTATAGCCAATTTATATAATTAAAATATTTAATTTGATACTGGAGGCAGGGCAATTATTAATTACTAATCATTATCAGGAAGACCGGGATTAAAAAATAGCAGCCGCTCGCATGCAAATTGTCTCATTTCCGGATTTCTGTGCAAGGTGCACGCGCCAAATGTAGCCATGAAATCTTGCTCCATTCTGAGTATTGTCTAAAAAAATTATTTTATTTATTTGTAAAGTGTATTGTCAACTAAGCAATTAATAATTTTATTGTACCGTACTATTATATAAAGTATTATTCTGTATTAAATAATTCTTACATGTCATATAAAAAAATTTTAAAAATAATTAAATAGATTTATAAACGATCTTTATTAAATATAATAACATAAATGACGTTTATAGTATTTTCATATACCGTACTTTAATATTTACAATCATACGCTGGTGATTTAATATTTTCTCAATTATAATATAACGCTGTCTATACACAGAATATATTCTCTAAATACTGTATTAATAAAACTTTAAAATTAATCCATACCTAAGTATTACTAAATTTGCCTATGACCGACCTAGACACTTGACTGTTATTTTGAAATTTATACGTACCTTACGAAAAATCTCATCCATATCCTTATACCAGGCAAACTGTGCTATGTTATGGCTCAGTGCGCGTCCAAAATAGGAGTAACCATCACCAAACCACGATTCTTTACCTGGGTATATTTTGGCAGTTTTTTTTAAATTAGCACAATTTTGGAATTATCATTTATATTTATACCTTGAGCACACGAATAAAGTACGATGGTCCGTAGATTATGGTTTACCCAATTCTCATCGACATCAATAAATTTAGATTTTTCATCTATTGGCCCTTGTTCATCTATTGGCGCTTTTTCATCTATATTTAATTTCAGTGCATTTAATTAATTATAAGTTACTAGACTTCCAGTTTTAACATTATGTTTAAAAATTATAAATTTAAACTGGCTTATTAGTTTAAATAATTATTACGACATAATAGGTATATTTAATATATAATTTATGCATAATAAGTATTATCATTAGTATTTTAAATGAGTTTGTAATGCTAATTATTGTTTGTAGTTTAATATCTATTTAAATTGAGGCAACAACTTATTTTTAAATGAACTTTATACTTGTGCGGCAACAGTTGAAAATGAAAATCTTGGGCTTATTAACAAGCTTAAGGCAATTTGAACTTGAGAATGTGTCCACCACATTTCGAATGAGCATGGAATCACCATGCTTAAAACCATTAATACCCTGTATCGAATCATTAACCCCATGACCGATAAACATCAAAATGAACGCATCGTGCTCGCGTTTGTCCTTGCTAATTTTTTGGCGCACCTCACTTAACAGAAGTGCAATTTCGTTGCAAGTAAGGAACTCGGTCCTTACGTTATAAATAACGTCAAAATCTAATTGATTGTATATGCTGGCAAATCTGTCCGCTTCGGTTTTGAGAGTCACCTCGTTTAATATGATCAAGGCAACACCCCTAGGCTTAGAGTCCATTTTAAAACCTCGGGTGAACGAACCCCAGAGCGTAAAGTTTTGGCCTTGATCACTCTAAGATCACGTCCATTTTCCACGTACTCCATGAAAATTTCCGACTTATTATATCGACGTAATTTATCGGCCGCTTTGCCTTGATTGCATTCCGACAGTATGTCAGCGAGCTCGTAGCATGGTATCCTGTCCCTGGTGAACTCCAGGCATATCATTACTTTACGATCGCATTCGTTGGGAAGTTTCTTGAAAATGTAGAACAAATAAAACAGTTAATATGATCCAGGGACATGTTGGTCATTCAATAAGTGCGTGACCAAATTTTATTTTGAAAATTGACCCTATTGCTTCTGCTTAAATGTCACATTAAAATAGCAATATTTTAGAGATATTTATAAGCTTTTTAATGAGGTATTTGAAGGTTTTGTTCTCGGTCAATTGTGGTTTAACTGAAATTTCTATATAAATTATTGTTGTATATTGATTTTATTGTATTTACAATTAAATCACATTTAATCGAGAACTAAACCTCCAATATTATCGAGTTATACATCATTTGAAAGTTTATAAAATTCTTTAAAGTATTTCTATTTACTTTTGTTAGCTAGCTGCTTTTGGTGAGCTGTAATAAATGTCTAAATATTTTATCATTAGCTTTCCCATAGACTTGAGCGTAAAATTCTTGTTTAAAAGCTATTTGTGTCTGAATCTGATTATTGATTTTATTAGAGTTTGTTTCATATTAAAATATAAATATTACCCTTGGTGTATGATAGTTCATAAAAATATTATTATCAAAATTTTAAAATGAACAATATAGATTTCAAAATGCTATAATTTCATCTATTAAACTTAATTTGATTAGTTCGATAAGTACTTTAGTTTTAGAATAATTAAGCTTGCTCATCGCGAGTTAATACTGCAACACGCTGTATAATAGTTTTATAATACTATAGTTGTTAATTACTTTTAATATTTACTTAGTGATAAACACCTTAAGATTAGATATAAAAATTAATATATTAATATAATTATAAAAATATGCTAGTACCATTATAGCAGGCAATAGGTGGTGGCATGAATGTCTAGCCAGTCCATCAATCAGTGTTGGCGTTAAATGAACGTCCTGGATAAATTCGTGAAACTCATTGAGAAATATATTTCTAAGAGCTTCTTGCTCCATTGTAAACAACAAGCTAATTAATTTTTAATTTTAAAAATTTTGTTAAATATGTTAAATATGTTAAATACGTGTTTACAGTTTAAAATAATTGCAACCTATTTTTACAATACGTTAACATCTAAATTCAATGTCAGTTTACATTTATATTTATTTAGGCGTCGACTGTACAATATGCTGCATATATAGCATACTGTCCCAAAAGTGGCTAGCTAGCCACTTTTGTAGTACATTTTTATTGGCTTATAGAAAATCGGATCACAAACATAGTTACAGAATAGAGTGGGTGAGTATAAAATAAAATAAAAATATTAGTTATAAACTGTAATAATAAAAATTGGCAATAATTGTAACATATTTAAGGCTAAAATAATTTTATAATTTTAACTTTATTTTATAAACTGTAATAAAATAAAATAACTTATTTACTATATACAAAATAATTTTTCAAACTGTAATATGTTAAATACCTTTATTATAAATGAAATGTCTAAAAACAAAAATAAATATCTAATGAACCGGTGATTATAAAGATAGAAAAATAGTAATGATATTTACGATTATAAAATCCCTTATCTACTACTAATCTATATGACTGAAATCAATAATGTCTCATGAATTTGAAATATTAAAAGGCGCTAGCAAACGCTGATATATAGCGTATGTATTTTATATGGCTAGACGTGTGGTTACGTGATGCCTAACATGTAAGTGATTTATTTTTATTTATTACATAGTTGTTTTATGTAACATGTTTATCAGTAGATAGCGCGCGTTGTTAATACAGCTAAAAGTTATTTGCGAAAATATTAAGTTATCTAATATTAAGTTATATAAAGTTTTATATTGTACAGTATATTATTTATTTTTAAATATATAATTTCAAATTTACAAAACAGTTATTGTTTATCATATAACTAGTTTAAAGTATTTGTGGTGCTATCAAGATAAAATAAATAAAACAATTGAAAACTAATTGATAAATTTTAAACCATATTTGTGATAACTTACTCACTGATAAGTCTTACTCACTGATAAGTATACAAAGGGGACTACCTATTTTTAAAAATACATGTATTTATTACCAATATATTGCATAAATAATTAAAATAAATGTCTAACGGTTTCATAATATTTTATTTCATTATTAATTACATGAAGTATTATAAATTTAATTTTCGTTATACAAAACATTTTTATGAGCATTAATTAATGTCATTATAATTATTATTACATTTTGTAAAATTATCAATATTTAACGCAGGTTATCTGTAATCAAAGTGAACATACCATGATTAAATATGTATTATTTGATAATATATTATAATAATAATATCGTATATAAACTATACATACCTTTACTATACTATTGTATAAAACCCCACAAAATAGGTCTCACGAGTCGCAGTACTCGTGCGGTATATCCGCGGTCTCGACGCCGATCGGGTCGTACCGGAGCTCCGGTACCATTGTATTCACGTAGTGACACGAAACGCAACACTTTTTAGTCTGATAATTACAAAATAAATTTAAATCAACATGAACAAATTTTAACATAAACTAAGTACAGTGTGGTCAACACATACCTGCGCGCACTTGACCCGTCCCGTAGTCATAGTGTGATTATTTGGCGAATTTTTATTATATTTTAAAATGCCTTTTGTATTAATAGTATTGTTAGCCATCGGTGGACAGGCATTACACGTGACAATAGTGGTGCCACCGGGACCGCCACCACCTACTCCTATACCATCGCAGTGTTGGTCAATACAGTTGTCGATCACCATCTGATCCATTAATAGCTGCTCAGACGTGTCGTTCCCGCGCATGGGTGAGACGGATAGCGGTGGGGACCGGGAGTTAGTCCTCAGTGTACCCGATGTGGACGATAGGACTATACCCTCCTCGGGTGGGGACGAGCACTGGTAGTATAGAAATGAAAGTTAATTAATAAACTGTAACTAAAAAACTAGTTTACGACTTATTACTAGAATAATGAGTAGACTGTAATAAAAATAAAATTAATTATACCCTTGAATAGGCTATAAATTATAAATGAACTGTATACTAGTATACAGTTTATTAAGTTATTGTATACGAAATAAAGTGATAATAACTTAATTATTAGAATAAGTAATTTTTTGTCTAAAGAATATTCTGTAAGAATACAGAGATTATTATATAATATACTGTATATAAGGTTAGATTATAAATGAAAATCTATTATAACTTAATGGAAGCTAACGTAATGCACAGAATATTCTGTACAAACATTAGCTATCAGTCGGATGTTCACTATAACGAGTGGTTAATCGTATCGAGAATTTTGTGATAAATTCTTTCGACACAATAGGAGACAATTAATCACAAAAATGTTTTTGTGTGTTAACACAATAGATAGGATGAGAAACTTTAAGACGACTCATAAAAAACTATATATACTCTGAGAGAAAAATTGTCTTAAAATTGATGACCAAATGATTGCAATCAATATATTATATCTCAAAAAAGTATTATATCTTTCGAGAGAGAGAGAGAGAGAGAGCTACAAAGACATTGATAATATTCTCTCTCTCTCTCTCCCTCTCTCTCACTCACTCACTCGCTTTCTCTCTCATATTTAGAGAGAGAGAGAGAGAGAGAGAGAGTCTATAAAAAGATTTATATATTTTTATTACTTTATATTATAAGATATAATATATTGTGTGAAAATATACCGAAGGAATAGGTTCTCAATATATCATACAATGGTTTTTATATGATATCGCCTTTTCTCTCGCAGACTGTATATTAGATACGGGTATGAAATATGAGTTCAAAAAATATACACTTTTTCTCATATCTTATGTGAATTGTTGTGTTAAAGAGTGTGTGAGATATGAATGGTTTCGGGCTCTGGAGTGCCATTCAAGACGAGACACCAAATTCATAATTTGTTGTGTTTTTACAGTTAAAGGATTATGTGATCACATGATCTGATTGATAGACTGGGCGTACAGTCGGATCCCGATTTAGGTTTATATTTTAATTTTGAACTAATATTTTAGTAGGTTAGGTTAGGTTAGGCAGCTAATTATAATTTATTATGTACAGTAGCTAACTATAATAATTTTAATTATATAAAATTTTAAAATTCTAAATATTGATAACCAAGTATATTATAGATTATAAAGTGTGTTTTTATCTAGTTTATATTTATAATATAATTGACAAGTGTATTTATTAAATTAATATTATTATTAAATTATGTAGTAATCACAATATTTTGAACAAATTTTTAAATATTCGTTGCTTGGCAATACTGTACTATTCAAACAAGATAACTTATGTTTTGAAAATTAATTATAATAACCACAACTACTTGTGTGTATAATATACAGGGTGTACACCAAACCCGAGTCACACTGTATGCCACGACAGACAATGGATTGATTGCTATCTATATTCTACACATCGTATTGACGTTCCGTTTAAATGGTGTCTCGATTAGAGGGGAACGACACCAAAGAAATTAACGATAGATTTGCCCAGAAAAATATCCTACTAATGGTTGGCCCCGCATAGTATATACACACGTACATTGAGAGTGGCACAGACTAAAAGGGAAAGGGATGTGTGATTAATGATTTAGCTGTCACTTAAGGGACAAAAACTATCATAACTTCATATTTTCCACTCTTTTATAGTTTGGCCCCAAAAAACGACCCAATCTTTTAGGGTTTCCTTTCAGTCTCTATAGCTCTCTCTCTCTCTCTCTCTCTCTCTCGCATTGAATCCTTTATATGACATCTCATTGATCTTAAAGACCCAAACGGTTTAATAAAATATTTATTACTTTTCATGTATTTTTTATATTAAATATTAGATTTAATATGACATATGAATTATCCCTGTATATAAATCGTGCACGCTAAATGTAATGATAAATAATGTTAAAGAATTTTTAAAAAAATTTATACTTTGTTATTTTTTAAAATGTTATGATTTTGCTAAATATATTATTTATGATATGCAATAATATGTTATATTTTATAAGGTTTAATTAGGCAATGCTAAGTTATGTTAGGTTAGGTTAGGAATAAATAAATAAAACTTGATAATTTAATTATTATAATAAATTATTTAATTTATAAATGTAATACTTAATCTGTCAAAATCATTTACTTTGAATAGTACATTAAATTAATATAAAAATAATAACTTATAAATAAGATTTATTCATGTTTTCACCATTTACAAATATAATAAATTTAAAATTTTCATAAAATAAACCTAAATTTGATTTCATATTGAATTTTATTTACAGTCTTTAGAAATCGCATACAAATTACTGGTTTATAAATGAAATGAAAAGTGAGTGAAAACTATTTGGCAATAAATAATAATTTACAAAAAAACTTTTGACTAGTTTTTCATACAAAACACACATAAAAAAAAACTGTGAATACAAGTCGATATGAGACGACTATATATTTTCAACGCATTCCCATATATTTTGGTGAAAAATATAATGAAATAAAAAAATTTGAAAGAATTATTCATTTCGTTAGCCTTTTCTTATATTTCTATCTCCCGTTCCCTACAAAAAAAACAGCCCTTTCATTGACTTAACGTTTAATTCAATGAGAAATTTGGCGTAAAATCAACAAAAAAAATGTTTGAAGGAAATCAAGTGAATACAGTCAATACTCGCTATAATATACAGCAAACAGTATTAAATTTATATTGCTAGCTCAATTATATTAGCATGTAATTAATTATTAATTTAACAGTTAGATAGTATTATTTAAACAATACCTATGCTATTTAATTTAATATGGTGTGTTTGCATGGGTTATTTGTTAAGTATAGTTATAAATTTAATTATCTAGGTCTTGTAAGTAAACTGTAAATTTAAAAAGTTGTATGAACTTTATAGATTTTTGTTGTTAGTATTTCTAAGGATTTTTCACAATTTATTGATTCTCTCTCTCTCTCTCTCTCTCTCTCTCTCTCTCAACACAGAAATAAAATTTAATAATAAATTGCTATGAATT